GCTTGTGCACAATGACAAAACAGATTTAAAAAATCTAGGTGCCCCCTGTTGACTGTGAGAGAGCTTTGCAGCACAGATTAGGCTAAACTGCTTTCTCGATGTTGTACGGCTGAACTGGATCAAAAGCGTCACATCTCTGAGGCTGCTTGTATATGTTAAGTGCTTTGACACTAAGAATAAATAACCTTGCAATGGCATGTATTGACTTCTTTTGGAAAAAAGTGACCTTGTGTTAGGAGAACAAGCATAATTTCCAGATGACAGAACGTGCTGAGACTCGGGACTGCGATTTGTTCCACTCATCCTGATGCACGGCTGCCTCTGATCTGCATAACATTATGATAATGTAGCACTGTCATATCTTTAGGAATAAACATGAGCTCTGATAGGGATGAGATGAGAATTTAGGTGTTTGGTACTGAATCTGGTGCACTCATGTTCGGCCCAGGGATTTGTGGAGGGGGGGGGGGCTTATGTGGTAATCGGATTGGTAGGCTACAAATCCGTAGCTTTTTATTCCTGTGCTGGTTTGTGGGCAAGGCAAAATCCAGCACAAAAAAATCAGGTGCAAAGATGAAAATAATAAATGAAGCGAAGCACAGAAAACCAAGCAAGAGGCAGACGAGGGGAAGAGATGGGAAGAATATGAAAGGACAAAGAGTATACCGGATAAGTGGAAGATGCTGCTAATCTCTACTTTACGTTTTGCACCCAGTTCTTGGTATATATGGATTGGACTCAGTTGATGGCTGCTGAAACCTCCAACAAACAATAGTTGTCCTATTACAGGATGAAAGCACGCCTGTTGAGCATGAGATTTCTTCACATAATGAAAAGGGTGTAAATAAATAGGAGATGTCTTGTAATGTCTGGGCTATCTTTTATTCTAGCTTCTCCAGCTCAGTACAATCTCCCATCAGTGTTATCCAGCTTGCTGAAAGTCAGAGTGTGCTTTTTGTTTCCATCTTTTCCATTCATAAAGAGAAAAAAATATTAAATATGATTTACACAAAGATAGGAAATTTTAACACCTTTGCTGTTTTCCATTTTTTACACAAAATCAGGTTGCAATATTTTTCACAGTTGTTCTTTCTCACATTTGCCACAGCAGAAAATTTTATCCTGCAGATATGTTTGCACTACTGTAAATAAACTATGCCTGAAGTACACAGGAAGCTGAACTGGTAGATGTAACAGGAAATGGTACCAAGATGCTAAACAGCTTATATTCTAATACATTTAACACTGCAAATGTGGGAGAACTACAAATGGCAGCAAGCATGTCATTCGTTGGTGTTGTCTATATCTGTTAGTTTTTTCTAATTTCTAGTTTTAATCTCAATTTTTGGCATTTATCCTGCAAACATGCCCAGATAATAAAGAGCTGCTTAAAAAGTACAGAGCAAAAAAAGCAGTATGAATAAATAATATATGCATAATAGAGAAAGACTCTTTCGTGGCTAGTTTTCATTATTACCATCATAAAAGGTGAAACACTGTACTGCGCTATTAATGAACTGTTTGTATGTTTTTTAATAAAATAAAAGCTAAAGAGTAAATTTGTTTAGAACGAACAAAAAGTATGTTTGTGGCAGGCACTGCTGCATCCAGTTAATGGTTCCTCTGAGTATAAAGCTTTATTATCTCTAATTAGTAGTACATTCAAAAACTTCATAATTTTAACAAAGTTGAAAAAAGTTAAGTTAGTTAGGAAAGCTTGTGCATGTTCTTATCCATCATTTTCCTTTCGTATTTTCATGTATTCTACATGGATCTTAAGCTAGTTGGAAAGCTAACTTGCTGCCCAAGATACATAGTTTTACTTTTACTTGCTTAGTATCACGTCTAACTAAAATAATGTTACTGTTTGGGTTTTTAAAATCATTTGGCTAGAAAAAAAAGCTACAGCTAAATAAAAACTTCAGCCAATTCACAAAGTAAGCTAACTGTCGCTTGTTTGCTAACTACAGCTCATGTGTTAGCAGTAGCAACAGCATTGCTAATATATTTTTTTTTACCTTGTTTAGTCTAGTGTGTGTGTGTGTGTGCGTGTGTTATTGCATTGCAATGACTCACACGTATCTTTGAGAAGAATGTGACCCTGAGGACACTTTGACAAGGCAGTTTTGAGTCCTTTCATAGGTTGCTATATATAGTTCTGTCTGTGGATGTATTTTATCAAATTAATAATATCAGTATTATAGGAGGGCTGATATTAAAAGCTAATATTAGCTTTTTTGATGATCTGCTAGCGACAGCATTTATAATGGCCAATAAATGAAAATTTTAAACGCGAAAAAAGATGTAGGAGAAACACTCCAATCCACCAGGGGTCGAATGTTGGGTGTTTTTAACAGTAAATTATAGGGAAATCTATTTTCCTGTCGTGGGTCTAAAAGAAAAAATATCGCCTGATATATCAGAATATTGGAATGCTAAATCACCACATCTATATCATTGGGGTGCATTGCATCTGTGCTAGATGCTTTTCTGAATGTTTACTGGTGTGCAGTTAGGATTAAAGGAAGATGAGAATAAGGCAGTGCTGGGAGAAATTCAGCTCTACCCTCCTACCATTACCTGAGGTCTGAGGTCTGGGTTTCTCTGCTCCACTGCTGCCAACACAACCCAGCCACAGATAAGCAGCCAAAACTGGATGGATGAATGTTTCTACAAAATATGTTTTTCACCAGCGTGTTGCTGGTGTAACTCAACTGTTTGATTCAAATGTAGTGTAAAAATTACAATTAGTTAAAAACCTTTGTTGTTTTCCTTGTAAATTGCATATTGGCCTTGAGCTGAGCATGCCTAGCAACAGAAGCTTAAAGGGAACAGGGTTTAGGGGAAAATGAATTCTCTCTCTGTTTTCCCCTTGACTCTCGTGGTCTTCATCTCACAAACAGTGGCACGCTGAGATTGGCTGTAATTACCATATTTATGCCTTCATTTCTTTCATTGCATTAGTTGATCCTATTCCCAAGCAGAAGCCTGCTTACGTGCAAAAGTAAATAACTCCACCAACACTGCTGTATTCTGAAATTTACTGCAAGATTTATTAGCAGCAGCACTGTGAATGGTATTGTTTTCACCTCGTGAGTCAGCTTGTCATCATGGGAAATTGTGGGCCTGGATATACCTACTTTAGCAGGAGCTGCTCACAGAGGCTGTTTTGGGAGCAGTAGCTGTGCCATGTTTTCAAATAAAATGGTAAAATACACCCAGTTTATAATTAACTAATAGTTAATGAAAAATAGTACATTAATTACTCACTAACATAACAAAAAGCTCTCTTCAATGAATGGTTTAAAACACCGACAAAGTGCAGACACAAGGATGGCAAAAGTGAAAGGCAAAGTTACTAGATACTAGTTAGGTCTGCTATAATATATGGTTGGAGATGGTGGCACTAACAAAAAGACAAAAGTGGGAGCTGGTGGCGGAGTTGAAGATGTTAAATTTTTCATTGGAAATGATGGACAAGATTAGAAATGAGTACATCAGACAGACAGTTTGGGATTCATGGATGTAGAGAAGGAGGATATGATGTGTTTGGTGTGACAGAGCGAATCTTATGAGCTTATGAGATGCACTCAGTGGCCACTTTGTTAAGGCAAAAATACTAATCCATCACTGTAACAGGGACCCAGTGGTTTCAGGTAAGTAGGCATGGTGAAGATGTCCTGCTGATATTCAAACCGAGCATCAGAATGGAGAAGAACGTTGACTTAGGTGGCTTTGACAGTGGGAGGGTTGTTGTTGCCAGGCAAGCTGGTCTGCCTGGCAACAACCTGGTCCTTTCAGAAACTTATGATCTACTGGGTGCTTCCTACATAATCACCTCCAGGGTGTACAGAGAATTGTCAGAAACTGGGAGAAAATGTGTTGTTGATGTCAGAGGTCAGAAGAGAATGCCAGAATACTTTGAGCTGATAAGAAAGCAACAAAGCTCCCTCGGTTACATCTGCAGTACGCAGAAGTGCATCTCTGAATGAACCAGGTGAAGCAGATGGGTGCAGCAGCAGAAGACCACGCGATGTACCAGCTAAGAACAAGAAACAGTGGCACCTGCTGGGTCATAGGCTAGCCAAGATTGAACAACCGCGTGTGATTTAAATGCCGCAGCTTATGTAATATTTTTTAAAAACTTTTTTATCAGAGTTCTCCGTGTTGTTCCCAGTTCCTTGGTGCGCTGCTATTTCTTCTGGTTATTAAGCAATAAATGAGAAAATAATAATGCAGTAGACAAAGAAAAGTTGGTACACCTGAAAGTTGCATTTCACTGTTTATTTCTCACAGTTTTATTTTTATTTTGTGCTCCACTTGGACTTTTCTGAATGATTTTTCAGCTGTTAGTGAAGTCTTGTCTATTTTTCTTTATGTATTTATTTTGTTTTAAGAATGTGTGAAATGAGTAAAGAAACAGAGAATCAGTGCCTAGTCTGGCCACATACTTAGAATATTTCTCTCTGTATGTGATCATTTGCCAACCCTAAAAGAAATACATTCTGTAGATAGCAGCACTACTCGCTGTGACTCACTTAAACAGTGACTCACTGTAGCTCAGTACCCCTTGCAGTAAAATGAATAGTGAAGGAAGCATGCAGATTCAGCAAATACAGAGTATGACTAATCAGTCCATGTGACAGTGTTATTGAATTATTAGACCATTAATACTCATTTTTAATAATATTTTAGTACTTCTGTGGTTTCATATCCTGGGATTGGTCAAAGGATATGTTAAATAGCTGAGAGGTAGTTAGAGAAAATTCTTCTGCTCTATTCTTTCATTGCGTTCTTAGAGGTTTAAACTTTGTGTAATAGCAGTGTTTGACATGTATATGGTTGCAAACAGCTGCTCGTGTATGCGTCGTCATGTGTTACATTGTGCAATACTGCCATCAAGTGGTGGCTATCAAGAAATACACTTAGCAGGTTCTTTGGCTGTCAGTGTGGGTAAATCTTATTGATTTATCAGTGTTTGTGTACGTGTGTGTGTCCAGGTCTGTTGGGGATGGTAGCCCACATGATGTTCACCACAGCCTTCCAGCTGACAGTCAGTCTGGGCCCAGAGGACTGGAAACCTCAGACGTGGGACTACAGCTGGTCATACATGTGAGTGATGTTGGTTCTTTTTATTTTGCTCCCAAGCAGCCAGACATTCGTGTCATTTTTAAAGTGCTCTTGAACAATAATTCTCCAGGCTTTCTGGAAGTCTTTCAAAGTTTTTGTTCGGACATATAATCTAAAAAAACAACAAGGTTTGTGAGTCACTCCAAGCCGAGTTTGGAGAATTTTTCTGAGCATTAAATTCTGACGTCTTTTTTAAATTTATTTGTAGCAAAATCGGTGAACTGACTGTAACTCAACAATGATTCCTTCTAATCATAGTTTTGTACAGATAGCAACATCTGTAAATTACACATTGTCATGCAGCCATGTGCAACACCATGTGTAAGGACATAACTGCAAGATGTTTTTTGCATGAAACTCCTTTTCTGTCCCATTTAGGATTTGAACATTTATGTTCTGCTCACTGCCAAATATGTGAGCTTGTTAAACTTCAAACATGAGCTTTTACAGGGGCGTTTTTTTGTGTTCCTGTGCCTCCTGGTACAGTAAATTGTCCACAAATTATGCCTTGCTTCAATGCAATTTTAACAGTTTGCAAAGCCATCTGTGGGCCAGACTGAACCTTTCAGCACCTCAGTTGTAGCCTACTTTTCAGTCTTTTCATCTGCTGCAATCACAGGTCCAAAAACTGAGCTTGTTAAGTGGATAAAGGGAAAAGCCCACTCTACAAGATAGCTTAGTCTTTTCTCTTTGTGTCTCCTGTGCTGTTGCTCTCAGCCTACTTTTCTGTATTTCTCCTTACCCCGCTCCCTCCCATTACAGTCTTTGTAGTAATTTCTTTCTTATCCCACTGTTTCACCACTTGGCCCTTTGAGTCCTCACTTGTTTGTTCTCCCAAAGCATTGAAATGATTTGGTAAAATGTTCTATACATTGGTTATTTCATCTTTGATCAATTTAAATTGCACAAGAACAGCAGAAATATGGAATACTTCGTTTAACCATGCATTGCAGTTCTTTTCTCAACTTTTGTTTGCTTTGTGCTAAACTTGGAGCCCAGCTGATATTGAATTTTAAATCACTGAATACTGGTATCAGTATTCAGTGATTTGAAAGGCGAACATTTCAACAGATTAGCCAATATCTTTTTCTTTTTCTGTGTTGCTAGTGGGAAAGCTTGTATTTATCAATCACTATAAATACTAATGTTGATAAATCAGCACACAGGTAATACTGGCCAGTAACATCAGCCTGACAACAAATGGGTTTGGCTCTAGTTAAACCTCATCAGTTCGATCGAGGTTTGCAGGGCTTTTGTGATGAATCAGCGCCACCAGGAGGACAATTCCTCCTTCACATTGGCTGGACTGTTATTCTGCAAAAACACGATGAAAGCACATAGACAGTTTTTTATCAGCATAGTACATCATTTCTGGTGGTTATTTAATATAGAAAAAAAGAATCTTTTACTCATAAATATCATAATTTATGCATTCTTGTAAATTTAGGATCAAATCACTAAATTACAAAGAAAAGAGAGCCAGTTTTTGGAAGCCACCATCTTGCACCGCCGTCTTGAATACAGCAGACACAGTAGCATAATAGTGTTTTATGTTCATGGCTTGAGATATACGTTGTATGCCTCATTAGAAGATCACAAACAGCTCTTTTAAGCTCCAGCTATTTAGCATTAGTACATGTATATTCTTATCATTTCCTTCTCATTATGCCTCTGTCCTCCTCCTCTGCTTTTGTCTCTTCCTCATTTTCACCTCGTCCTCTTCCTCTTTACCTCAAGCTTCATCTCCTCAACTGAAGTCGGGGCTCTAACACAAGAAAAGGTTCATAAATATGCTTATTTAGTCTCAATATTGTCGCAATTACTTACTCACCGTCTCTGGACAATGAGCTGAACAAAAACAGCAGCTGGTTTTAAGCTAATATTGTGCCAGCTAGTGTGCCAGACAGCTGAGCTAAACAGTAGAATGACACCCTACACTTACTGCAGATGACCAGCAGTCCTACAGAGTTTTTTGTCCTACAGTGGCCAGTGTAGCTGAGATTTATGAACAAGATTCAGTCGACTGCAGTCTGCAGTCTTTTGACATCTATTGGGGTGGCTGTAGCTCAGGCAGTAGCGTAGCACACCTACTAATTAGAAGGTTGTTGGTTTGATCCCTGTCTGTTCCAGCGCTAAAAATGCTAACCTGAAGTTGCTCTCTGATGCATCCATTCAGACTGTGAATGTTTGATAAAAAGGCACCTGCATAGGAAAAACATAGAAAAGTGTTCGTGTGACTGGGTGTGACGGGGTGAATGAGGCAAGTTGTGTGAAGCGCTTAAAGTAGAAAAGTGCGATATAAGCACCAGTCCGTCTACTGGTGAGATTGTACATACTGCACCTTTAAAGTCACCTGTTCCTGATTGCCCTTCCCTCCTTGTATTTAGTCCGTATCTATAAACATGGTTTTTGTGAGGTAGCCATTGTTGTATATGCAATGTTTTCTCTTACTGACTCACCTGTCTGTACCAGAAAACCCATTCGTTATGCTAAAAAGTTCACAGTGTGCTGTCATTAAAACAGATTTAGATTGTCTTAGTCTATAAATGTGTGAATAGCAATTTTTAAACAATGGTGCACACGTGTAATATGCTGCTGTGAAATTGATAACTTATCTAAACAGGCATGTATATTTTTTTTAGCTATTGTTTGTCTTCTGATCCCTAATCAAAGCCACCCCTTTGTTTACTTGTCAAATAATTATTATTACTTGATCGTGACAAAAAAAATTACCTTGACAGCATTTTATGTTGTCACAAAGTAACTGTTTTCCCAAGATATCAAAATAATATGACAACCTGTTTTCAGTAGTCTGAATTTTGGAGGAAAGAGGCTTTTTGTGTTTTGATCATTAAATAAAAGAGACTTTCTATCAAGATAAAGTTTTCAAAATCATATTTTCATGTTTCTATGAATGCTTTCACTTGAGGATGCATTTGTCATACCTAGTCTGCTATCAGTATTTAACCTCTTAAGCCCCAACGCCCCCTGATATGGGGGCAAAAGGTAGGCTTGGGGCTTAAGAGGTTAAAGTAAGGAGGTGGAGGTGCCAGAGTTGAAGAATGTGACATTTTTATTGGGAGTGGCCACGATTTAAATGTTAGTATATCAAAGGATTAGCTCAGGTTCTGTAAAGGATATAAAACTGAACAATGGGTGTTGAATATGGAGCAAATGAAGGAGTTCATGGTGTTTTTGTTTCTTTCCTTAGTTTGGCATGGAGCTCCTTCACGGCCTGCATGGCATCCTCAGTCACCACCATCAACCGCTACACCAAAACCATCCTGGAGTTCAAGCACAAGCGCAGGAACATTGAGAAGAACCTGAAGATCAAGCAGAAGCTGTTGGAGCTGGACTCTCCGGAGCAGGTGTGGGACATGTACATCAGCTCTGTGCCGAGCACTGCCGAGGAACTGCTCGACCTGTCGTCAGATGGACGCAAGCTGTCCAACACCTCCATCTTCTTAGACCTCAATGACCTGCCAGATCCACAGGGAGAGGAATACTGCTAGACAAGCAGCGTGTAGCATTTTGAAACATGATTCTGTCACTGTCATGTCCAGTGTCTTACAAGGATGTAAATACTTTAAGGATAATGAGATCATGATTGAGACCTCTGGGGATTTTAAGTGATTAGCCAAAATGTTCAACATTTAGCATCGTAAATCAGAGCACTAATTTGGAAGCATATTTCTGGTCACCTGATAAACATAACTCTTGTTTGGTCTTCACCATTCCTGAGAACTACAACAGGATGTTTAATTTCAGGTTTTTCACTGTGTTCAACAGATACTTGCTGACGGGTGATGACAGCCATGAACCCAAAACCATAGAAGCACAGCAGGATATTACATATTTTCAGCATAATAACTTCATATTTAAGGCAAAAGATTTAAAGGTTTGGGGGGTTTTTACACATCCTTAAAAAAATCCAGTTTTAGTTTTATATTCATGCGTCATTAGCAAGGTTACAACAATTATTGTTATTAGCAGGAAGACTATTTACCTTACTTTGAATAAAAAGTCAATAAAAAAAAACTTGCATTTTCAGATCATCATATCATCTTTTGTTAGAAAATAATTTAGCCCTTCACAAAAAGCAGGGAAGCTATTTACTCGGAACTTATTCTGTATATTTGTGTAGTGATAAAACAACAAAAAGATCTGAAAAATAAGCTTTTCACCATTTAAATGATGGTCAAACCTGATCTGCTGTGGCACAGCATATCAACAAATATACTGTCAATATACAGTAAATGTACCATTGAAGCTAATTACACTACTGTAAAATTCAAAATGAAGGTTTGCCGTCTCCTCAGCAATGATCTCAGTGATCACAGTGATTGTTTATTACCTCAGAACTCATCAAATGTACATGGAAATTTGATTTGGAAACTTATCCTGATTCTGATAAAAGTCAGAACATGATATATAAAAGACTCTACAGGGATCCAGTTGGTTCAGGCCAACTGTTTAAAGCTAATCAAGCCTCCTATAACCTACATAGCTGTCCCGTTAAAACTGGGTTGTAGCCTTATCCAGATTTCTGAAACCAAAACATATACAAAACATAACTGGGATACTTTGCATACACCGATGCTCAAATGGTACATGTAGCTCCTTCCATGTCTAGTACTTCTAGTCGCTGAGCCCACCACAGTCGTTCTTCCCCGTTCATAAAAGATAGACATGCCCATCATAATGTTTTGAAATCCTAAGTGTTTTGGCCGTCTCCACCAGGGGGCGTAACAAGCATGGTTCAGATCTGATGAGAACCTGAAGACACTGGATGATGGTTAGCTGTGCACCAAAGCATATAAATCTCATCATCTATTGAAACTAGCAACATTACAGAAATGTTTGCTCTAGTTGTAAATCATCTGAGAAATAGGATACATTTTTCTCATTGGCTGTACAGAGGCCACTCTTCAGTCGTTCTTATTTTCCATGTAGGAGTCACCCCATGGTGGCCGTTAGCATAAATGAGAATAGGTGAAGCTGAGGAACCTAACAAAAGCCAAGAGAAAAGCTCCATAGAAAGGACAGTGATCTGATCGCTTCTCCAACATCTCCAATTAGTTCAGTGAGGCGTAAAGAGTCTTGGGTTGCTGAATTTTAAAGTTTAACTATTGATGAAGGTGTACAAAGTTGCTAAAGCTGCGTGTGTCCATGACTCACTCAGCTGTAAATAGACATTGCTGGACCGACAGTATCCATATATTGATACACTGCCTCACACCTAACCAATCATGTAAACCAAATGGGATTTAGTGGCATCAAACACACTGCATTAGGTCTTTAGAACCGAGAAGTACGACCACGATCGAGGAACTGTAGCAGCATTGCTCTGTCTAACACATGGAAACAAAAGATGATTTTAAGGTGTATAGCAAGAAGGTTCTGGAGGTTGAGGATGCCTGCAGGCCACGCTGAGTGCCTTTACTTCCGGCAGCATGCCTCCGCTCACGCAGCATGCTCTGTGCTCACAACATATGAATAAGGGCAGTGGTGTTTCTCTGAAAAAGTGACTGCTTTAGAGGAAACGTGTAGCTGTCTGTGCAAACTGCCAAAACCCATCAGCGAGAGAACCGCGCGTCTTTTGAAGCTCTCTGTGTTAATATTTACTTGATGATGGGGGTGTTTTTCTTGTATTGACACACTGGGATTGTTGCTACTTACAGTCATTTAAGTGCATTTCAAAGTATATCTTTGTGTACCTTATTTATTTGTTCAGTTTAAAGTGAAATGTAAATGTAGATGACTTGACAGCTTATTCTTCTTGAGTTTAAATGATCTTTGACTCTCCTGGGTTGCAGTATACACTGAAGCATGGATTGTTGTGTTTTTACGAGTATGTCATGACTTATTTACAGTGGCATTTTTTGTGCAGTGTTCATTAGTTGCTTTTTTGTGGATAATTGTTTTAAGCTTAATATGTTAATATGAATAATACGTTTTTATGAAAAGATTTAATTTGAGGCAATCAAGGAGCATATGTGATAATAAAGAAGTTGTTTTTATCATATTTTCTGCTGGGCTTTAACCCCACAGTTCCTTGCTTTCACCACAAGATGGCGGTGTTGCCTAACTTTGAAATTAGCAGAAATTGGTGAGCCAACGCACCCCCATACACACGCACACATAAAGATGTTTTTTAATCAAAAGATTGACCCCAGTCACCCTTGTAGTCCATCTCAGTAACCACACTCGTGAGTGTTCAGACATTAAAGTATTGTTTCACTTTATTACAGATACCACCAGACTTTTTGAATCTTACCACCGAGGCAATCTGCAGCCTTTACATTTGCAAAGCAATTGCACTAATGCCATTCAATAGAAATTCAATCATTTGTCATTCGAGCTCAGTAAGAGCTTATAGCAACAGAAAACAATGAGCAAGAAGAGCTGTGGGAAAGAAATCTTTGCTGAAAAATAGGTGTCTTTTTTATGCTTTCATACAAGTGCAAATACATGCAAACTGAAAACTGACAACCCTGTAAGCAGAAGCGGAAAAGCTTCGTACATCAAAGTCCACTGAAATGGCTCATCGACAGGTCGAACCTCTGTGCATTCATTTAACTTGTCTTGTTTCTGTTGTCCTCCAGTGGTTCCCTTTACCTTGTTCAAGGTGCAGCACAGGATGCTGGTTTTGCAGCGGGATACCAACTTAAATCCTTCACATAAATGTGCCAAGCGGCAAGCGATCCACACCGCTTCCCCTACATCCATTTATCCGCATTCATTATTCAAGAATACAAAACCACTCAGTCAAATCTGAGCTCATACAAAGATTCTCTTGCTCACCCTTCTGCTGCTCGTCGCATGAAAGATTCATCCCACTTTATTTCAGAAACAATGCTTGGAGGATGGTGCTCAACATGTAGGCACTGATTGCTCTTAAATTCTTAACCAGCAAGATTAGAAAACAAACAGGTCGAAAGAGAAAGTTATGGAAATTGAGGAGGGTGAAAATGCATCAGATCTTGAGTTCCTTGTACAGTCTACTGAGCACCGGGATTAAACTGCAGAGACACTAAAAGCTACGGTGTTTTCACTGTTCTACAATTATACAGCCACAACTTACAGCAACCACATTCTCATGACCACCTTTACACATAAATGTTAACCACTTTGAGCAATCTGTCGTATAGAAAAAGACACGGCTGTCTTTCAAACATAAGGTGATTGATTGGTAGAGTTGAATGGATTGACACAGGGTTTTTATTAACAAAGTCTCTGCAATGCTGCTTGGCTGGTCATAAGCAGATAACTTGCTCTCTCTTCTGCACTCTGAGTCGCTGCATTTGTCTCAATCAGATGGCATGTTAGCACAGGCGTCTATTCAAAACAGTGCCAACAAAAAGCCTCAAATTCCACCCCGTCAAAGGGTCACTGCCATCCAAAGTCCTGTCCTGCCATCTGATAGAAGCGCTGGTTGTGAGGCTTGTAGAAATCCCTCAGTCTCTGAATCACCTCTGGGTTGATGGAGGCGTGCGTCCTCCCTTTTGTCTTGCCCAGGCAGTGCGGTTTACTACTTCCCTCCGGCTTCTTGAGGCACGGGAAGCCTTTAGTTTTGTTGAAGTAGAAGTGCTTGTCTGTGACAATCCTCTGGAGGCCCAGAAAGTCCTGGACTTTGCCCAGTTCCCCGGCTGGGTCTGAGATGAGCCTTTCCCCGCTGACCAGATGGATCTGATTTCTGGGGAACCAGGCCAGCCAGCGCTCCATGTGTTGGGCATACAGACCGATCCACAGCGGGCTCCACAGAGAGTCGATCTGACCTAGAGACAAAGGCACGGGAGGCAGAGAGAGCAATGCATGTGATTTATGTCATCTTTACTCCTAGATAAGGATGGTCAGATGATGAGGATTTCGCCCACTGTGTTCACTTTTTGACCCCACACCAATCATCTATATCACTAGAACCAAGATGAATGCTGATATCTTGTAAACACCAAGCATCCCAAGTTCCTAGTAAGGAAACAGGAAACTTCTCATTGTCAAAATGTTGGATGTAAACATTTACATCCAACATTTGGCAGGTGTAAATAAATGCTAATTGTTACAACTATTAAATGCAGCTTGTGGCAGCATTTGCAAATGCCTACAGATAGTGGAGCTGTCTGGAAATTAAACTAATCTCTGACTCATAAAGTTAGAGATGCTATGCATAGCTGACTTAATACTGGGCAAACTGAAAAAAAACCATAATAGAAAAAAATGAAAACATCTTCATGAGAAGTACAATCAAATCCTTGCATTTAGTTGTATCTGTACCTGTGGTTTGGTTCTTGAAGGCTAGACTCTCAAAGGCGGGGATGTTTGGGGTCTTGGAGATGATCTGTGTGTAGTCAGATATGGCTCGGGTCACAGGGTCACGGACGACTACGATCAGCTTCACATCTTTAGACATGGCATGGACTCGCGCTGGTGTTTCCACGGTAACAAAGTAACGAGGCGTCTTCTCCATAACAATCTGGCCATCCAGGGCTTTGGGCATTATACTTCTGCACATGAAAGTAAGCAGATGAATTTACACAAGTCAGAAACATAAATCCTTGCAAAAGATTGAGGCTGGTATGAAATGCGTGTATATGGAGGAATTACTCCACTGGAAAAATGATGGATCGATGTTTTTAATGTTAGTACATTTTCTTCATTATCCACCATGTGAGATTTTGTCTAACATGTGACTATTTAAAGAGTAAAAATAAAGGTTTTAAATGACTAGTTCAGCATTTGAAATGATATCCTGAAAACATGTATCTGCACATATGGATACATATAGGTATTTTCTTGAAAATCAGTACAGTAATCACAAAGGTCTCTACACATTCCCTCATATGACCCTATTAATCATTTTGACACACATCGCATCAGAGTATCCCAGCAAGATTTCTTCTGTGAACCAGACAAAGAGGCAGGTACGTAAAACAGATTTCCTTGAATGCACCTCACTCTGTTCACCTCCACCTCCGCAGCAGAAGCCCAGCAGATGGGACTCATTTAGAGATAAAAGACTCCAGAGGCCCCAAAGGACTGTCTGGGGATTCAGGGACATCTGCTAACACACCTGCCACACACCTGACTGGCTGACCAAACACAAGCAGCCACAGTGGAACGATCATAAGCAGCTCTGAATCAGCATTTCAGCTGGTGTTACGTTGTAAGCTAAAGAGCTGATTCTAAATAGGTAGTTAAGGCAAACACAGGGTTTCAGCATATTTAGGAAAATCTCATTTGTTTCCAAAAAGACCCCAATGGACAAGGTGTCCTGTTATAATTTAATCTTCGCATGAAATGTAAAGACAGCCTCTCTATATTTGATGATACTGAATATTAGTAGACCTTAAATGGTCTCATTTAGCAGTAAGATGACTGACAGCCAGTTTCCATGATAAAAACATCACAACGAATTTGGCAAAGATAAAAATGATTTAACCTTTTTATGTGTTTTTATTTCCATTATCAATTATTCAGTTATTATTTTTGGGCACCTTTGAGAAATAGAACAGCCAATTAGACAAAAGCTGTTTTAAAGCTAAAAAGGCTTGTTTCAGATAAGGGATGAACTAAGAGACAGTAAATTAGGATCATTTTGAAATGATGATGCAAAGCTACTCAAGAAGAATCCGAGAATAAAAATGTAAACAATAGAAACAGATTTATTAGAAGTAATAATAAAACAAATAGATAAATAATAATAAATAAATAGAAATAAATAATAAATAAAGATGGGAAGTTGTTATGGCTAGTCCTACTGTATATCACCTTAAATTAGGATTCTGTATTCTCTTAGCAAAACTTTTCTTGTAGCTTTAGTTGAGATTCAGAATGAAGAATTATGTTCATAATTTGACTGCTACTAATATCCACAATGCTATTATGTGCTATATAATTTAGGCATATAGGATCACTGGCTGCTTTTAAATGCTTTGCTACATACACCAGATTCATGTCATGTCATAAATGTCACTAACACTATAAACCTGTTTAGTGATGGTATTCAGAAAAACTAAAATGCTCCACAGAACTTTTGGAAACTGGTCGTAATTTTCTGCTTCTGACGTTTGTACCTATTAAAGAGGAGTTCTTTGTTCCCACTGTTGCCAAATCCTTAAGTAATATTCTAATTGATGTGTTTCTGTCACTGGTTCATCCCTCTCTGTCAAAATGGAAACAAATCATAAGTAATAAGGTATCTTCACTGTGTGTGTGTGTGTGTGTGTGTGTGTGTGTGTGTGTGTGTGTGTGTGTGTGTGTGTGTGTGTGTGAGTGAGATGCAGCCTCCTATTTAAAGACTGTATCAGAAAACAGAATCAATAAAAATGTTCTCATAAATGACACCTTAATAATAATAAGAAGATACTTTTTTTTACAAAAAGAGGATAAAGAGAAAGAGAAACACTGCTGATCAATTGATGTTCTACCTGTCAGCTCAGTCAGGCTTCAGTCGCACCTGCAACCTGTCAATCCACCTACTACCCACCACACGGCCCTACTTTTAGGAGTTTCACAAACACACTCAGAGCGATTTCATTTGATCTGATCAGTGTGAGGCAGTGCTCACCACCACTTAGCCTGAAGACTTCCCTTTTAACTCCAATACCCTAGACAGGAGGAGCCGTACAGTCTGTTACATGGCCCCATAAACACACACACACACACACGCACACACATTCTGCAAAACACAAACATACACTCATTATTCACTCATTAGTCAAGCATTTGCTGTCATGCTTCTGGTCTCCCTGTGGACCAATTTCTCACAGTCTAACACACACACACAGAAAAAGACACATTT